GAGTGGGGACCTGCAGGTCACAACCTGTCACTGTGGGGCAGGGTGGTCTCTAGGCAGTGCTGGCATCATTCCCAGGACCCTGTTCCTTTAGTGGGTAGATGAGTAACTCTGGGCAAGTCTTTTCATTCCTCACTCTGAGCCACTGTTTCTCTCAATGGAAAAGCCCCTGAGCCATGGAAGGCATCTCCTCACACACATGGCTCTGCATGTGTGTCCCCTTGAGGGAGGGGCACATATGGGTGTGGAGGGCGTCTGTGGAAGAACCAGGAAAGGAATCGGCTTCTATCTTGTCTCTTGTCCTCTGCCAACCCAACGCAGAAGCAGCTTTGCTAAACCATAAGGTAAGGCTCCAGGGCATCCATATCACAGGCACGGGACACATCCAAAGACGGCAGGCACCCCGACACCTGGGACTGAGCCCAGGTGCCCCAGCACATGACCATTGCTGCCTGGCAGGTGTTCATGTTTAGTGTCTTCTCCCTAATGACAAGGTGCTTTCCACATTTCACATTTAATGCAGTATCACTATGAGCCTAGGAATTTTCCTAGTACAGAGCTCTGAGGAAGGTTTCAACTAGCAGAAAAAGGCACTCAGAAAACAACTGTACTGAGGAGCCCAGGAGTAGATAGGAGGAAGCTAACCAAAAGATAAACTGTACTGTACCCTGGGTCACTGCCAGGTACCCCTGCTGGGTGCTTTTAAAATGCAATCTCATTTACTCTCCATAATAGCTTTAGGTGGTATATACTATCCCTGTTTTACAGATAAGAAAATAACGCTCAGTTCAGTTTGCTCAGCCAGAAAAGTACAGAGGGCACGTGAACCTGGTTTATATTCAACCCTCCCAACATTCTCTCTGGCCTGGGCCTGAGAAAGCATCAGGCCTAACAAACTCCTCTGCCTTCAAAACAGCTCAAGGTTCCAGCCAAGGTGATCTGGCTTCTGTAAAGTCTGCTCTGCAAGATCCTGCAGCTCCTCATTGCTCTAACACTCCCACTTGACCAGCATTCCTCCTCCTGTTCATTTCTGCTCCTTGCAGGGAAGCCCACGTTTCCATAAGTCAGGACTCCTCTGCAGAGCTGTGTTGCAATTACACCGTTATCCTTCCAGGTAGGTATGGGGAGGAGCCTGTTCTGCCCCCAGTATAGACATTTTTGGAATGGGCCCATTCAGACTCCTACCAACTTCATATTTCAGACATTTAGTCAAGGAATCAGTGAAATTGTGTAATATTGATAATCTTAGTTATACTGGCAAATATCTATGACACAGCGTTTTTCAAGCACTCAAAATCTGCTGCCAGTGCCCATACATTCTAATTATGTTTGGACTTTGAAAAGACCTGGGGTCAGGAGAGTCTGCAAAAACAGGTATAGATCAGGGTTTCCCAACCTGAGCACTACTGACATCTTGGACTGGATAATTGTTTGTCGTGAGGGGCTGTCCTGTGTACTGTAGGACATTTAGCAGTATCTCTGACTTCCACCCATTACATGCCAATAGCATCCCTCTCCTAGTTGTGACAAACAAAAATGTCTCCAGACACTGGCCAATGTCCCCTGGAGAAGAAAAACCCTCCCTGGTTAAGAACCACAGATATAATCTGATCCTGCAAGGCTGGTGCATATAAAATTCAATTAAAGCCACCACCTTCCTCCCCTCCTTCAGGGAACATGTGAATTCTTTCTAAACCCCACACCCTTGAGAACCATGTTACAGAGCTGATGCCACCTGGCTTGGGAAGTAGGTGGAAGCGAGGGGGAGAGAAAAAAGCATGTGGAATAGAAGAAGCAAGAAAAGACAATGGAAAAGCTTTTAGAAATAAGAAAGGTTTATTTAGCAAAAGCCACTAGACTAGTGACAACATCCAGGGAGTAAGTGCACTTACATTAACAGAATGTTTTCCCAGAGAGCTGATCCAACAGAGTTAATGACCTTAGTTTTAGGAAATAGAGGGCTAGGGGGTAGAGGGGATGGAGGGAGCAGTCAAGCAAAGAGTAAATAAAAGGAACACAACACCCAAATAAGATGAGTTGAGAGAAGTGAGGCTAGGAAGAGGTTTTACAGATAGCATTGATATAAGCAGGAATACAAGGAATATAACTTTCAATCCCAATGTACAGTCCATCCTGTGCAGAGATATTCTTTCCCGGCTCCATAACTGCAAGAGCCTTGTGTGTGCCTAAGAGTCTGCTGGCACCTGGGACAGGCTGGGCAGGTACCAATAAGATAGGGGCCCCTGCTGTCCACTTGTCCTCCATATGAGGCAGAATAGAACGATGAAAAAGAGGAAGGCAGAGTTGAGTAAGCAGAGCAAGAAGCCAGGAGGGAGAAGGACAGGGTGACATCGCTGTCATCGGGTCTGCAATGTTCCCTTTCCCAGCCCTGATGGAGGGTTGGTGGCTGGTGACCCTTCAAGGCCCCTAAATCTGTGTTCTGTCTCCCATCTCCACATACCGAGTGTTCGCTGGTTTGAGTCACACTGGGGAGGAGGCCAGTACCAGGGAGGGCCTGAATTGGAGAAACACCGGGGCCGAGGCAGACAGAAATCCCTGTGGAAGAGTGCACCCAAGGGCAAGAGTCTTGAATGGGTCCCAAGTCAGCGTCACAGGTAACTGGCCTCTCCACTTCTTTAATCTCTTCATTTTCTTTATTCTTTTGCAAGCTTCCCAAGACCATTCTAGAGACTACCTCCCCCACCCCATCCCACAGAAACCTTCTCAATCCAAATTCCACACACCTAATCCATTAGCCCCGGGCTTTATCCCCAGCTCCTGCTTGCCTTGAGAACACAGACCTTTCACTCCCCTGGATCCTCAAAATTCTAATGATCTAACAGGTCCCAGACTCAAGGAGCCCCGGGTTAGGATTCTGTAAGCCAGGTAGGCTCAGCCATGCTGATTCCTGACAGCTGCTCCTTTAGTTTTGTGGATCTCGCATTCCTGGTTCTTCTTTCTCTGTGTATTTGGACCTACTTCCAATGATTAATTACACCATAAAATAAACAGAACCACACCTCTCCACCTAAATGCATGTTAGGAAAAGAATACAACTCTATTGTTGAGTCAAACACCCTGGAGATCCCCATTCTCTTCTCTCCCACCACTTCTCACAAGCCTACATATACGTACACACCTTCCCTCACATGTGTGCATATACAAACACACATGTACAGACTCACACCTCACCCGACCTATTTCCCCTGACACCCTGATGCACCAAGTGGGACTAAAGTAAAGCTGCATTTATTTCTTTGAATTTGGACTTTTTCATTTAGAAGAAATCCAGTTGTGACTATAAGAAAAATGGCTACACTTTCATTTATATAAGTTCTTAAACAAAGCTAGGGTTGAAAAACTCCATTTCAGGGCAACCATATCCTTACCAACTGACGCTACTAATACTACAGTCTGGAGCTGGAGCTTGTTCTCCAGGATATAGACTTATTTCCCTGAACATATGACTCCAGCATGTCTCAGCTCTCTCTTCTGAAAGTCTGTTAATAGTCACTTATGGCCTTACAGGAGCAAAAGGAGCTACTCCTCACTGCGCAAGTCAGCCTGTCACCAAGTGGTGATCCCCAGGCAAGGCCTTGATCGTAAAAGCTAAAAGAATTGCACATGGCACTTTTTACAGATGTGCCCAAGGCACGCACCCACAGAGATGGGCCAAGGTCACATGGCTGTGGTCCCTGGCCTAAGTGGCAGTGGATTCTGAAGAGCAGACAAAAGCAGTCTCAGCTACCAGCCTGCTTCTATTTTTCTTTTTTTCTTGCAGTAAAAACTGACCACTCCTGCCCAGTGGAGGGGACAGGTTGAGAGATAAGAATGGGGGCTCTGGGGCTCTGAGGCTTTCATAGAGGCAACATGCTGCAAAAGCTTTGGCTGGCACAGCCCCAAGGCAGAACAGAGGGGCACAAGGGGCATTCCCCAGCTTCCCTTTAGATGAGTGGGGCTACAGTCAGGAGGTGAGAAGGACAGGGCTTCCAAACTGGAGAATCGGACTCAAGTGACTAGTGGCAGCAAATAGGCTGTCCTCCCTCTGGGCTCTCACAGCAAGGGCCTGAACGATGCTAAAGCTCCCAGGCTCCCTCTGAAGCAACATCCAGCTAGAGACAATGTTCACATCCAATTCCTTTAAAAACTCATCTGCTGTGACACACTCCAATTCCATGCTCACACTAAAAGGAATACCTTGAATTTGCAGCCAGAGCATTCAACCTCCAAAATCTCAGCAAGGGCCTGGAGAAGGAAGTCTTCCCACAGAGGTCAGGGAAGGTTCAGCAACTGGTAGCATTCTGATATCCAGGAAGGAAGTACCCGAGAAGGTACAGATGGCTTCCCTTAATGGACGGACCATGGCGATGGCAGAGCAAGGTGGGGGTACTGGGGCATCGCAGACAGAGCAGGGGAGCCTGGTAACACAGCAGCCCGGAGTCCTGAAGAGGGACCCTCTCCCAAAGCCATGGGCTCTGAAAGGCCCTGCCCCTCTTCCCCACCCTTTACTTACAAGTAAAAGAGAGGCACTGATTCGACCCCGGGCATCCGATTCCTCCCGCACTTCACCCTCCAAAGCAAAATCCTAATCCTGTCCTGAAAGCTCACGCTCTCCGGGGCCCCGATACTCTCCTCCGCAGTGCGCGCTCGCGGGGCCTCCCCTACCCGGCAGCAGGCGGACACGGCCCCTGGACACTGACGCCGCGGCCACCTCCTCCGCCATCACCTCGGCCCCGGCACCTACACGGCGATCTCATCGTCCAGGCTGTCGCCCAGCTCCTGCCTCTGCAGGACATTCAGCAGGCGCGGCAGCTCCTCCTGGGACCACGAGTCCCGCTCCTCGCTATCGTCCGTGTTGGACTCGTACTCCGAGGCGATGCCCGACTCTCGGAACTTGATGAGCTCCAGGCCGCCCAGGAGCGGCTCGCCCTGCGCCGGGGGTGGGGTGTCCTCGGGCGGGAGAAAGCGGAAGCACTCCAGCTTCACCAAGCAGTCGCGCCTACCTAAGGGGCTGCCCGCCGGGTGGGCAAAGTCAGCCAAGCCCGCGCCCAGGGGCGGCGAGTGCAGGTCTTCGGGCTTAGGGGTCGTGGGGTCACAGAGCACAGGCAGGGCTCCGGAGCGGAAGGTGATCTCCAGCAAACTGTCCTGGGAGCCCACTGGAGAGCGAGACAAGAGGGAGAGGAGGGGCGACGTGAGGCAAGGATGCTGCTCTGGGAAGCCTGCCTTCCCACAGCCCGCGCGCCTGCAGGAGCCCCTCCCTGACTCCCTCAGCAGCACCTCACAGGGCTCCCACCCGTCCACACTGCACCCCTTCTTCCCACCCCCACAGCACCAGGCACACGTGGCTGGAGGGGAGGAGCTTCAGGAACACGGTAAAGGCCTGGCAATCAGACCCCCATGGTGATTTGGGGAGGCCACTGAATACCCTTATTGGGGTTTGTGGTAGGAAAAAAGGTACCTGGGGTTTGTGGTAGGAAAAACGGTACAAATCGAGAGAACCACGTTAAAAGTGTTTACTAACCGTTGGTACAGTCTTGGAAATCAGCATTAATTAGGACAGAGCATAGTCTCAATAAACAAGAATCCGGAAAATCCAGAGGCTTAAAGCACAGTGGTCCTGATTCACACCTTTGTGGTGCTTTAAAAATATAATTTGTTAGCTCTGCCCCAGACTTAATGATGCACAATCTGTGGGCTGCACTCAGTTATATGCAATTAAAAAAAAAAAATCTCATGGTATAGTTTGGGGTAACTACTGGTACGGTTGGAAAAACAATAGTTTCGCAATTATATCTGGGTTTGAACCTTGGGGCCCCCCTTCCTGTCTCAGTCCTTTAACCTTGAGCTAGTTACTTACCATCTCTGAGTCTGTTTCCACCTCTGTAAAATGGGCATAACATCTACCACTATAGGGATTCAATGAGCTAACATAAAAAAATCCCATCACAGTTTCTGGTACAATAGGTGATCAATGGGTATTTGTTGGTTGTTGGTTGCAGTCAGCACACACACAGAGCATGCATACAACCCACAGAGAAGCTCAAGAGGAAGGCGTAGAGATGTGCTGCCTTCTACCACTGCCCAGTCCAGCCTGGAGGCGGTTGGGTATAAGAGCTGTCTGGCCACGGTTACTCTGCAGCCTTATCCTAAATGAATATGCTGTTACTTGCTTGTTTTCCATGTGAGTGTTGTGAAATATATAGTACGAAGAGAGTAACTAATAAACAGTTTGAGGCCTCCCACAGAACTCACAGAAAACATGACACCCAATAGGTGCTTATACTTTAACTGGAAAAGCGAGAAAGAAATGGGCTGCCCTAGGATGTAGCATACCTGAGCCCCCATCAAGGAGAAACTGGATGAGAATGTAGCAGTGACTCCCAGGGACATTCAAGGCCATGCCTGGGCACTGGATTAGAAGGCAGCCAAGATCACCTATGGCCCTGTGATTCTGTAATTCATGAAACGTATGGACAGGGCAAACGAAACTGCCTTTGTTTTCTGCTGGAACACAGGGGCAGGTCGGGGGTACTAAAAAGCACCACCCAAAGCTCTAGGGAAAACAGACATTTTCCAGAGCCTCCACAAAGGGAGGCAAAGCTGGGCAGGGTGCTCACTTACTGGCGTTCTGTCCCGACAGCTTCAGTTCCAGCTCCTGCACCTGCTTGACCAGCAGGGAGATGTGCTGGAGCATGTCCTTGTTCTGCAGCAGGAGCTGATGCACGCGAGCCTGGGCCTCCAGCCGTGCCGCGGCCTCCGCAGCCAACTGGTCCTTCAGCAAGTGAACCTGCAGAGAGGAGGAGGGGGCAGAGAAGACAGAGAAGACAGGACAGAGAGAATGCAGGGACGTGACTGTAAATGAGAGTCGCTGGCAGACAGCCAGGACCAGAGATGCCCTCCACGTTCAAGACGAAGAAGCCCTTCATGGGCAAAATGGGCATCTGGGCTAGAATTCCAGAGGAGGAGCCAAAAGAAGCTGGGTCATTGGCCCTGTGGATCTCTCTGTATGTCCCGAGGGAGGGCCATGATGTGTCATTCGAGTACCACTCCAGACCCCACACCAAGCGCAAGAGGTAGGAAAGAGCCATCTACCCCCCATCCACCCACCGCGCCCCAACCCTGCTGCGAGAGCTCCTTCAGCACCTAATACAGCACTGCCATGGAGAGGGAGGTGCCCTTTTCTCATACCGTCTTTTAAAAACAAAAACCGATTCACTGGCCCACTATCTAAGAACAGTATCACAACAAATCCCCATATAATCTTTCCTCCCCACCACCTCACACCCAAACACAATGAGAAACAGAAAGCAGCACATATGACCATGTTTCTAAATTAGTGAGGTGGTCGTAACAAAGCCCATCTTTTCATCTCTGGGGGTGTCAGTTTCTCTCCCCTTCTATTCCCTTGTTACTTCCCATGGCAGGCACCTAGGACTATGATTCACACCTGGCAGGGGTCAAACGTTTGACTGACTGACTCACAACGTGTCCTCCTCAACCACTCCAGAAGGGCTGAGGTGACGACAGTCTCAGCACTTCCATTAACTCACCACCTTCTCACAGTAGACAGAGCAGCTGGCAATGGCCCACTCGCATGCTTGGGGCCCAGTGGTGTCTACAGGTCTGTTCTTGGTGTGTAATTCTTGTGTGGAGATAAAACCCAGTGGGAGGAGATGGGGCAATTATATCAGGATTCTGGTTTGAAGAAACTGAGTCACAAGGCCAATAACAATGTTCACACATATGTGATTCTTGGGCTACGATGTGGATAAAGGGGAAAGGTCTCTGGGGAAGGTTTCAGAAAGCCCCTGAAGAAAGGGAACTAATGAATTTGGTGGCCTAGATCAAAGCAGTTTATAGGGAAAAGGATTTTCTTAGAACAAAACCATGGTGGGAACAAAGACACGGAGTCAGGCTGCCTGGGTGCAGGACAGGCAGGACAACAAGTGCAGGAGAAAGGTGGAAGGCCTGTCGGCAGAGTCAGCAGATTCTCTAGCTCAGAAAACAAATGCTCTAGTTTCTGAAAAGCAGTTTGTTCCAAAGAGATTCCCATTTCATCTGGGACTTAGAGACCATGCCCACCCACCTCGCCATCTGGCCAAGCCTTGCCAAGGAACCTGCCAGCCCAGCGTCTACCCCTCCTAGCAACTAGCACTTCGAGAATTATATTCTAGGTGCAGTGGCTGCTTCCTTCACTGCCCAGATTTGAGGACTTGACCTTGCTGTTGGCTCTGCTTTTGAGTGGAGCCACTAATGAGATTAGCTGCCACTTTCCATTAGTGGCTCCCCAGGGTTGGGCCCTCTTTCCCTCAGGGGGACGATGTCTAAGGAATCTAAAGTAAATCTGCCCTCGATACAGAATGGCTAAGGACAGAACTGATATTTTGGTCAAGGCATTAGCCTCATTTGCTGCTTCATATAAACTGAGGAAAGATTTGCAGGGGATGAAAACAGGGAAAGACGTGTGAATAACATTTTAATCTGGATATCAGGTGGTGGCTGGCTATTAAGTCTTTATCTTCCCTGGAAACTGAGGCATGGAGACATCTCACTTGGGAGTCCCCCAAGTCCTACTGGTTCTGAGGAACAGGGCAATTGCTGTGAGAATCCTGCAGACACGCCCCCAGAGAAGGGCCAGCTTAACCTTCCACCCGCGAGTATTGTTACTTATTCCAACTAAGACTAGCACTGAAAGGAATCTACTGAGCAGACAGAACTGTTAATTACTCATTTTGTATTTTCTTTGGAACCAAATAGAAATGTCAGACAGAAATGTGGAAGCAAGTTTTTCAATGGATGTAAACAGAGAAAGCAGAGAAGTATGCATACCACTAATTGGCATTTATTGAATACTCTCTGCACACATGCTAGAAACTCAGGTACATCCCAAAAGAAGAGGCCATTTGAAAGCACTGGACTAGGAGCTGGAACACTGGAGTCTGTTGTTTACTCCCTACGCAACTGTTGGTAACTCCTTCTCCCTGGACCGCAGTTTCCTTATCTGTCAACTGAGAAAGCTGGCTAGAGGCTCAGACAGTTGATGATTCCACATTCAGGAGGACATGGCTGGTACATTTGCTAACAACTCACTAAAGAAAACCCTCAGTTTCCCATTGTAAAGTCAGAGAATTAGGACTAAGGACAAAAGAAGAGCTCCCCCTTGCAGACGCCAGGAAAAAAAAAAAAAAGTTGGGAGCTTCTTCTGCAGTATCCAAGTTCCAGTGGGGGAGTACTATCAATACATAAAGGAAGACTCTTAAACCAAATGCTTGCATTGCAAACCCACTGGCACTTATTGCCATGAGAAAATGCTCCTGACTTGAAGTGCTCCTTGTACCAGATTAAATAAGAATTTTACCTCTGCGAACAGAGTTATACCATTTCAGCTGTTTCCAAACCCTGTGAATATGAAAGCCCATGCTGCTGCCACCGCCCAAAACTAGTACTAATGAGCCCTTTCTGCTCTTGCAGCCGTCAAAAGCGGCATCAGGCTCACACCTCACGCTGCGGCAGTCTGCGCCACAGGAGAGAACACTATCCAGGCCAAGCTGAGACAACACTGCCTGGACTTTCTTAACTTTGAGGCAAAGTGTTTTGTATATGTAGGCTTGAACTTGAAGCACTGAGGCGAGGCAGCAGCATTATTTCCAGCCATGGGGCAGTCTGCTATAGCTCTCTGTGCTTTGTTTCCCCCATTGTAAAACAGGAGTAGATAGCCACCACCTCCTCCGTACCAGGTGGGATATTCATTTGTATTTAGCACACTTTTCTGAGCTTAATTCCAAAGAAGTAAACACCATTCACAAATGTAGACTATATTAATATCTGGACAGGAGAATAGCTTCTCCTGTCCAGACCTGTGTCATCCTTGGCAATGACTATTCCAGTCAAAGGCTAAGTCAGTGCTATGACACACAGTAGTGTGGCACTGTGGCCATATCCAGAGTGCCACTGCTCAGATGTCCAGGTCCATGTTCTGGCCACATCACTACACGCCGTTCAACCCTGCACCCTCCAGCTCCATACCACTTCCCAAACTCTGACACCCACCCTCAACCCATCCAGCAATGCCAGACCACTGACCCACTCACTCTCCAGCCAACTTGCCTGGACTCCAGCTCCTCCATCAGAAGTGGGGGCAGGGCCAGGCTGAAGTTAGGGAGCAGGAGGCACATGGAAATGGCAGTGGAGAGAACCAGAGCAATTTGCCCCCCCACCCCCACCCCACTGGACACACAGCAGAGGCAGGTAGCACAGTCTCAGCACACATGCAGCAGGGACTTGGGCAGTGCACACCAGGTGCTTGGGACTGGGAGAAGCCACGAGGACAAATGCCAAATCTAGGGCCTGGGGTAGGAATGCAGAGGGGTTTTTTTGGTTTTTTTTTTTTTAAGCACTGTTCCTCTAACTACTTACAGCACACATGATATAGCAAAGCATAAATAACCAATTACTTGTTCCTGAACAAGCAGAGTGACAGCAGGTAGAGGAGAAATCTTTAAATAGCAACACTGAGCTGCACTAACGCTTTCCTCATGAGCTAGGCCAGGAACTGGCAAGCTGTGAACGGACCTGGCCTACTTAACTGTTGCCAGTCAGCCACCTCGCCTGGCTCAATTCTGCAGCTATGTAGCCCAGCCCACCGCCATGCAGGTGGCAGCTACATTCCAGCTTTGATTCAAGACTTGGCTACACTCTCATTTGCACCCCTGAACTTCTGATCCATCTAAAAGCAGGGAGCTAGTGCAGCCAGGCAAGCCTCATGCTGGGTTGGCAGCATTATCAAAGGGACTTGGGTATTCGCTACTTACACACTGAGGTCTAACCTAGAAATACTTGAGTTGGTTGACCACCATCTTTGCCCATATACCTTCAAGGCCAGGGCAGGCCCTTCTAGAAAAGCCCTGAACCAGTTTATGGTGAGGCTGGGAGGGGTCTTGAGGTCTCAGACCAAATCAGAACACCATGAAGGAGACCTAAGCCTGGTCCCCATGGCAACAGCAGAACCAGCTTGGCCTGTGAGAGTAAATAGGGGAAGGGGGCATAAATAATGCAACAAGTGACCCCAAGAGTACACCTGTCTGCAAGACTCTGTCTTTACCCTTAGGTTTTTATCCAGGAACAGCACAGGAAGATCCAGATGCTCCCAGATAAAAGAAAAATGTGTTCCCACCTGAAATGCTGAGGTCACAGTTTTGCTCAGTGGAATTCTGGGGAATGCTGGTAGTTTAATGCAGACAGACAGAAACCTTACAGTTTGGTGTCAACAGAATCTGACAGAATAAGTAAAAATAATCTTGTGCTATAAACTGTAATCAGTCCCACCATGCAGAGAAACCAAGCATGCCAAATTTGGTCTACTTCAAAAGTATGAAAGATGTCAAGGAGACCTATCAATGTACCTAATGTATCTTACATAATTGTTTTTAGCTGAAGATATGACAACAAATAGAAAGCTCTTGGATTAGGTACTACATAGAGAATGGAAGAAAGAGGAGTGTGCAGAGAAACCTCTAACTGAAGGCCAGTTCAGGACTGAATCAGTCTGCAGGACAGAAGAGCCAAAAGCTAGCTGAGAGGTACAATTTCCTTGCTGTGTTTTTGGGCAGCAAAAGCAAGATGCAGACAGAAGGAAGGTGGTCAGAGACTGACTGATTGGGCTGGCAGAGAAGAACAGAGAAGTATGTTCGAGAAGCTACCAGATGTCCTGTCCAATCTGAAGATTCTGGGAGTCTATGACACTACCCAAAGTCATCTCACCAATGTGGGACATGAATGCACTACGGCAGCCTTTCAGCCACATCAGTGCTCGAACTGGAGTCAAGCAGAGCACTGCCAACTGTACTTAACAGATTCCAAATGAGTGTGAGGCTAGGGGTGCCCCACCTGTGGAAGCAGCAGGATGGAGAGATGTGCAGCAAGTGACTCCCAAACACCACACTCCTTTCTTCCCCTAGATTTACTGCCTTCTAGGAGAGAAGCAATTAATATAGGACCAGGGCAGGGATGTCATGTTGGGACAGAGGTTTGATTCTACACCAGAAAACCACTCTTAAGGTTTCATCCTGACTGTGGTAGACCTGTCATAAGTTACAGGTCTTGTTGCTTTGTAGACTGAGAGCTCTCTTCCACTATAATGCTCTTGTTGTGTAGATTATTTGTTTGAAAATAGTTTCTCTTTAGAACTAAGCAGTGACTTCAAATTCAAATGCCTCTCTGATAATATAAGATCATGAATATGCATCAAACCCACTCATAGATAAATAATAATTACTTGGCAATTGATATGCTGAAAGAAAAAATGTATTATGGATGGAAAATGGATTTGTATTCAATGGGAAACTTTTGGAAATGACATGAATCTTGGAATGGACCCTGTACTGGAGCGTTCAGGCTTTGTGTTCCCATCAATCATCCCGCTAGGGAGGAGGGGATTCTCAGGCTGCCATGCCATCATTAACTAGAGGAGATGAATTCTTTCATTTGACAAAGAGGAATGATTTTTTTTCTCCAGATAAAGAAGCCATTAATGACATTCCCTCCTTTCTCGTGCTGTTTTGCAAACACCTGCAAATTCTCCTACCATCACTATATATCCTTTCGTCTCATGGTCATAATTTTTAAAAAGGCTCCAAAAACATGAAAACAGTGTCCCACTGATTCTACCTTCCCCCAACCTGGCAGCAAAAGTCACCCATGAGGCTTGTGCCTCAGATCCAGGTGAGACTGTGTGACAGGAAGGTCCTTTCAAGACTCTAGTCATAGTAATCCCACTAAGGCTAGACTGCTGGATGTTTCCTTGAGGTCTACACCCTGGAGGGGACAGCTCGGCCTGGGTGATTCACTCCACCCTACAGCCAAGAGAAGAGTAAGCAGAAGATACATCGGGGATCAATAAGTGCTCCCTGGTGAAGCCTGTCTCCTGCCATTCTAGAATGCAGAAATCCTAAGAGACCAGTTGGTTCAACCAGATTTAGAATGCTGATGCATAGAGCTGCTTTCTAGATCTCTCACCAACTCCCCCAAACCCCAGCTGCCCCATTCTCCTGATCATCTTCACCCATCAACTCAGGCCCTGACCCTGTCTCTCACCTAAGGATTCACCTAAAAATGGTATGAATGAATGTGTCTTCATGATTCTTTGATTGCCCATGCTAGAAACAAAGCTCAGACTCCTAAATTCCAAGGAAGTGGTGGACTACAGTGCCTTCCACAGAAAGCAAGCAGGAGGAATCCCTGCTAAAAGCAGCAAGGGAAATCAGCTCACCCCTCCCCTACAAAGTACCAGTAGTCCAACAAGTCTTCTGGGTGCAAGATCTAAGATATAAGATCTTGATCTTAAGATCTAAGCCAATTCTTCTCATGTCTCAAATAATATATCTAAATTCCCATAAGTTAAATCCTATCATAGTAAATTCCAAGGCTAGTATTGTATCAAATACTGCCTGGAATAAGTAGGTCACTAATGGAAGCTTGGAAACCTGTTATGGGCAAAGAGGTTGGGATGCCAGGACAGTAGTCTTTGCAAGGGTGTTTGGCACAAACTCATACTTCAAGTTCTTTTAAGAGTGGTATCACGAAGCCATACCTGTCTTGATGCCAAAGGCATCCCTTCTCACCCCAAGCACCAGGAAAATAAGGCAGGAAAGGAAGGGTGGAATTGTATGCATCTTTTTCCTTGGTAAGTTCACGTTATTACCCCACAACATCCAGCCAAGCCAGCCAAGCCTAACTCAGAGCAAGGGATACATGGAAATCAAAATGTGTTTTTCCATTTCCACTGCATCCCCTCTCTCTCCCCTTTCCACCTCCCCCACTCTCCCACAAGCAATGGTCAAACAGCATAAGCAATTCCTAGTGGCTCCCTAAATCTTAAACCTGCCCTGAGCCCCTGCTAGGGAAGGTGCATCAAGCCCATGAGAGTGGAGCCTGCGAAGTAGGGAGGAGGCTGAGGAGAACCTGGGCCACAGCCACTTGTGTCTGCTGCTGCTGCTGCTGGAGGAGCTGCTGGAGGAGCTGCATCTGGTGGTGGGTGGACAGTGGTGTCCCTGCGCTCAAGCCCGGTGGCTTCAAGGAAGATGAGGGAAGCAGCATCTGGGGGGAGGCTGTCAGCATGGGATCCTGGAGGTGGGGTGAAACCTGAAGGTGAAGAGAAGATGGGACATGACACGTGGGCACAAGCTATCTTCAGGGGCTTCAGTCTCTTTAACATACACGGCACGTAAATGGGTGGAGTGAAATAGCCTGCTTTTCACCCATGAGCTGGAAGTGCTGCATCTTCAAGGGAAATGAGAACGGGACTCCAGGGAGGAAACGGTATACAACTGCCTGGGCTGAGACCACAAGTTAGAAAATCATATTTGGACACCTCGGTAATTGATCTAAAGTAATGGGAGACAGACAGCTGACACTCTCCCCTCTCTTCTTGCCCACAACTTCCAAGTATACTTACTGTTGTGTTACTTAAGGTTCTAGACTTAGAAGAATCTCTTTCTATAAAACATAGCTTCCTCCCACCCCACTATGAGAAGAGGAAGGAAGCAGCTCAATCTTTTACTTTGCTGTGTTCTTAAGGCTACTCCTCCAGGATCTGAGATGTCTCTCACGAATCTGGCATGTGAAGAAGAGGTCAGGAGAGGGGAGGCTGCCTCCAACCCTCCTCTGCATCCTCTCACAGTGAGAGCACCACGGAAGAAAGTGTGGACGTTAAAACAAATAATGATCTGGAGAGATCCTCTGTTGGATAAAAGGAGTTTCTCCCCACTTCTCTCCCGTCTTCATCTCCTATTGGATACTTTCACTAAGACGGTGTCTAGGATCCATAAAGTTCAATAGCAGGGAGAGACATTTTGTTTCTGGCAGCTCTGGTCCTTCATTCATGCAAGAGGAAGGAACCTGGTGACAGACAAGTGGCTGCTGCCACTTGTAGAGGACAAAGTGAGTACGAAGGCAACATCAGGCAGACAATTGGAACTATGCTTCCCTCCTAACTAGACAGACTTCTCCTTCTGAGGAACTGGCCTAACAACCTCCACCTGAGATGAGACATATGAATGACGAGGAACGAGAGGTGCCTGTGATACAGTGAACTGGCTGGCAATTGAAGGGTAGGGGCCCTGGTCAGTAATCTTTCTTTCAGTTCTTTTTGTTTTTTTTTAATTTGGTTTTGTCTTCAGGTTGGAATTTGGTCTCAAGTTCTTAGTTTCTTAATCTGGATCATTCTAGAAACTCCTAGAGGCCTCAGTCATCTCACCTATGAGATGTCAGGTTGGAGATGTGATGACTAAGGCAGTCTCAGTTTCTAACATTGAATGGCTCAATTTCCAGGCTCAACAGTGCTTTTATGGAGGAGTATCCAAGGCACACAATCACCAGTTGCAGAGTGATGTGGCCCACACTGACTTGGCTCCATTAGGGGATGATGCATATGGGAATGCCAGGACGAGCCTTGCTTAAATACTGAGATGCTCTTAAGGGCCGAAGTTTCAGGGAGAAGAAGGGGATCAGATGCTGGTGGGATCCTGGGAGGGCTATGTATGTCCAGAATGAGCTCCGCAGCACCCTGACACATGGCAGCACCCAGCTTCGGCACACGGAGGCTGAATCTGCAGAAGGTCGGCCCCTCTGAAAGACATGCTCTGGCACTGCCCCTGTGCTGTGGGGTGCCTCACTCTGCAGCTGAATCAGCAGGGCCTAGGAAGTGACTGACAACCTGAGGCTGAGGCTGAGGCTGTGACACAGACTGCTACAGGAGATAGCAGGGACATGCACATGTATATCACCCAGATGGGCCACCCCTGCCTACCTTGGAGTCTGTGTGGGGGCCTCCGTCCTTCCCTACAGCGTCCAGGTCAGTCACACCTCGGCTGAATTCCAGGACATCATTCCCTGGGAGTGGGACCTCCACCGCGTCAATGTCAGTTTCCTCTGCGGTGGCCATGGAGGCCCTCTCGGCTCCAGTGAGCTGGCGGCCTGCAGGGACAACAGGGAAGGGAACAGTGACACCAACACTTCAGCTTTCAGTATGTCAAGCCTAGGGACGTCACTGGCTTTATAACATCTTCATACATCTTTTCATTCAAGTGTATTAAAGCACATTTTCAACCCAATAAGACGCTCCCATCTTAATATCTTTTTAAAGTCCAGAAGCAAAGGGAAGAGTTCCTCAAGACTGGATGTGACAGCTTAGCTAGAGTGGCACGTTTACACTGACAGGGTGTGGGAACTCTGGAAGGAGGGGCTGATGGTCATCTCCACCTCATTCTAGCCTAGGAATGGAATGAGCCAAGAGAAAGAGCCCTGTACCAGGAGTCCGGAGACGTGGAGATCTGCCCCAGCCAGGCCCCTAATGAGCTGTCAAAAAAGGAGCAAATCGCCTCACTCCCTAGGACCAAGTTGCTTCAGCTATAAAACTAGAGGCTCAGTTAGGTGGACAGGTAAGGGTACATAACTGAGGATAAGGCCAGGGAGATGTGAGGCCACAACTTAACACGGTATCAGTCTCCAGGCCTCAGAGCCTGACTCTGATCGTCCCAGCAAGAGCAGAAGCCAGGGAAGAGGCTCGGAGGTGGCGGGGTTAGGGGAGAGAGATGGGGGTGGCTGGTTTTCCACGTCTTCCTCGCCTAGTTTTTCTGCTCCTCACTTTTCTTCCTTTCCACTGAAGACAGAGACCACACCTTCGATCACGTACACAGCATATTGCTTAATACTCTATTTCTTATTTTTCTTCATTTCCTGTTCCTTTCTGTTTCTTGAACCCTGGCAATTCCTGAGGATTACATAGGAAATATTTTATTTCTCTACATTTGGGATGAGGTTCATCACTAATGTCTTTGAATAAGATTTCAGAGACCAAGTACCAATTATAAAGTGAAGCAGATTGAAGCAAGCAGGAAAGACAGGGGGCTGATACCCTAATCCTGAAGCTACTGCAGGAAACAGGCTTCAGTCATCTGAGTGCCTGCCTTGTAGAACAAATTGTTCTAAGAAGTCCTCCTATGCAAACCCACACAAGTCATCTGGGGAAATAAGCCTGGTATTTAGAAAGTAAACAGTATGCTTGGTTTTCCTCCTGGCTACTCTGAGAGCTGGGGAGATGGCCTCATGGAAGGTTGCAAAGGCAATTAACAGAAACTATGGTACTGGACACAGCCTGATGGAGCAGCTCTTCTGCTCCTTTGTAAGCCAGTGGGCAGGGAGTACAGGGAGCCTGCTTTCTACCACACCCCTGCACTCAGAAGGACCGTCTTGATTATTGGGCATTTTAGTCTGAGAGACAGAGGGCTAATAGATAACCCGTGGCTGTTTTTCAGTAGGTAGATGGTGCTGGGAACTGGGCATCTGCTTTTCCATGTAGGAAAAAACAGGGTGAAATTTCCATCAGAAGGAGCTGGGTTCCTGCAGTGCTCTGTGCATCTGTGTGTTAGGGCACTCAGCACTCGGCACTGGTTATGCCTGCCTGTATAGGAAAAAACAGGGTGAAATTTCCATCAGAAGGAGCTGGGCTCCTGCAGTGCTCTGTGCATCTGTGTGTTAGGGCACTCAGCACTCGGCACTGGTTATGCCTGGCCATCCATTTTTCCTCTAGACTTCAGGCCAGGGCTGTGTCTCATTTGTCTGTTTCCTAGGGATCTGGCATAGAGAAAATGTTCCATAAATACAGACAAATGAAATAGTGTTGTGACAAGGTAGCAAAACAGGGGAGCAGGCTATAGGAGGCGGCTCTGCCTACCCACCACCCCCTGCCATCCCTGAAGATTGTAATAATGAGAACTAAGAAGCCCCAGACACAGAGGATTTGAACATGCCCTTGCCAACAGCCCAGGTGGAATCAGAAAATTTCTCAGGCTCTAGTTCTGCTTCTGCACGCGCGCGCACACACACACACACACACACACAAAAAAAACTGTTCAGATATTCTGTTTGAGCTAGTGGAGTTCCCAAACTAAAGCTGAAGTAACTCCATCACAGATCATGGGACTGCTTTCTGAGAGGCTTACCGCCACACACTAGGTGCTCAGATGATCACATTTGGAGTTTTGTTGATTTAATAAGCTAATAGGTACAGATCAGTGTAGTAACAGGTCTGTTAGAACTGGGAAGAGTAGACCTGGGGTAGACGGAAAGAACAGACTGGATGGAGGGCTATAATCATTGTATATGTCTGTTAACATATCACATAAGACAGGATCTAGAAGAGGGACCCACAGCTAATGGCCTTCTTCAGGTCCTACCAGATAAGGGAAGAAATCTGGTATCTGCAACTTCCCTGGCATCAAGAAGCTCAAGGGACAAGAAAT